GCATTCCCCGTGTCTGCTGGTAACACGACGATTTCTGATTTTTCTTTTATAGATCGGAGTGCCTTCTTTTCACCAACCGTCAAGTTGGATTTTGGTGGTTTTGCTGACTTCAATACTCTCGCAACTTCTTGTCGGATCTCTTCGGCTTTCAGTGCAGGCATCCCTCGAACAGCTGCTTCCACTTCGCAGATGATTTCCTCCTTTGGGACCTTCTTCGGGGCGATTGCGTAGTTCAATCCTTTGGCGAGCACAGAGGTTTCGTCTTTCGTTAGTGGGACATTCGATCTGTTAATGACGATTGTTTCTACTGGTAAACTATTACCTTTCTTCTTTTGCGACCGGCGTTCCAGAGATTCAAACTTCTTGATGTGTGTGTCACGGGTCTTCTGAAATTCGCGATTAGCCTTCTCCATTGTTAGTCTGTCCACTTTGTCCCAGTCTTCTCCGGATATACAATTGGAAAGTGAGAGGTGGAGTCGTAGTAACTTCTCACTTATTTTTTGTAGATCATTGAAAGTCTTGTGGATTCTTTCTCGTAGCAGTGCTTGTTCTGTCCTAATCAAAATTCTACGTGCTGCAGCGGAGTCGATGTGGTGCTTCACCTTCAAGAAGGTTGGCGTTACTTTCTTCTCTCTGCATCTTCGTAGAAAGGCCAAACTGCTCAACAGCTTGCGTTGTCTAATTCGTGAGTTATCCAAATCCTTGATTTGTTTGTTGATATCCTCTCCATAAAGGTTAATAATATAAGTCAAAGACTTTTTAGTATTTTTAAAGACGAACGTTTCTGTGTTTGTCTTTTGCACGACACTTTCCAATACGATGTTAAAGAGGAGTGAACATCTCCCTGTTTGAGACCATTATTGATTGCAAAGAAAGGTCGACAGTTTTTTTTTCAAGCCTTACCGCACTTCTAGATACATTTACAAAAGCTTTTGTGAGATTAATTAATTTTTCCGGTATGCCTAGTTCTGCCTAGCTGGTGCAATATTTTGTTAAATTCCCAGCGTTTCTCCATTATAAAAGTTAATATTTGATGAAAAGATTTCAAAGGATTATTTGTAAGGACTTGAAACGTTTTTATGGTATTTCTAAAGATGTTCAGACATATCTAGGCATTTGTTATGATTATAAAGGTTTCTTTTGAAGCTTCTTATGGAGATCGATTTATGTGTTATTTTCATTATTTTTCAAGGTTATGTACGAATGTTTTTGTGTATATAGAAATAATTATGAATTAGTGATAGTTAGGAATTTGCACATATTTCTAAACATTTCAAGAGAAATTCTGTGATTTCCGGAGAATTTCTAAAGATGCTCAACAATATCTAAGGGAAAATTTTTAAAGGTATTCAATTTCCGTGAATATATTTCCAAGATTTTCAAAGCATTTTCAGGTAATTTGTGTGGACTTTCATGGTTACCTTTAAGTTCCTAACATTTGGATGATTTTTTAAAAATTTCATAGACTTTGTAACAATTTCCGAGAAACAACCTGGTATTTCCAAGAATTAGATGAATAAAAGCATGACATTGCGATTTTCGCTTTCCACACCCAATAATTATTATTAATCAATCTTCTATAAATGAAATGTTCTAAACTGTAATTTTTGCCATATATAGCATTCAAAACACTTATTAAAAAACGTTTTACAATGATTGCAGTTGTAATTAAAAGTAAGAGGAAAAAACTGTTCAAAGAGACGATTATAAAGTTGCGATAAAATGCATTCGAAATGTAATTCGGTGTGGGTTTCCCACATTGAATCGCCTTTAATTACGCCTTGTACACCTTGACCGACCTACGAAGCGATCAACAGTTGCACCGTAGGTCTCATCTCGGCGACTACCAGCAATAATAGCAAGCGACTACTGCAACAGTGTGAATATTGCAAAAACAAATCCGTCCTCCTTACCATTCGTTCTCTTCTTACCTCTCTTGAAATCGCTTTCGCTAACCAACATCGACATTTCATATTCAATAGCCTCACAGTTCCCACTTCCTATTTCCCAACGACTTCTTGCATTTTCAAGTATTACTTTGCAGTTTTAAGTCATAAAGTTTTCTATAAATTGTGCGAAATTGGATTTATTAAGTTATGGAAGCAATTGAATATTTCGACGATGAAAGTGGTAGTGAAGATGAACAACCAGTTGTGGATTATAAAATTAAAAAAGCTAATGAAATTGAAGGTAACTTGTCTTTGATTTTCTTTTAAACTTATTAAATAAAATTGTTTCTGTTGGATTTAAAAATAATCACATCGTTCAATATTGAGTAACACGTTGTCTCTTCTTATCTTATCGTTGTTTTTAAAATGATTCAAAACGGAAATAATCTACTCATTTTACACCAGTTCTTTGTTATTCTTTGTTCTTAAATTAAGCAATGGCATTTAAAAAATCATGGGGTAAATACATATTAATTTTATTATAAAAAAGATCGAAAATTTAATCCAATTTGTTTATTAAAACCACAAGATTGTTAATTTATTTATTAAGCAAAATTCCACGACAAATTTAAACTATAAATCAATTTAAAGACACGTTTTAAAACTAGGTTACATCGTCTACAATTCACATTACGTAACTTTTACTCGTTGCAACTTAAAAACTGTAAAGTTACAACATCAAGATGCCTTTTAAATAATACAACAAAATTTTAGATTGCAGAATGCCCGAAGAAGATGTTAAAGCTGAGTTAGACCTCGGTGAACCTCCAAAAGAATATTTAGAATGGGCTGAAAGAGAATTAGGTGAAACTGAAGAAGTTAAAAAGAAAAGTTTAGATGAACTAAGACAAATGATAATAGGTAAGTGGTTAAAAATAAATGAATGGATAATAAATTTATTAGATTTGACGTTTTGAAGTCATGCAAGTGTGGCTTAGTTTCCTTCTATAAAGTAAATCTAGATCACAGAAATCGGTTCCTTGTGTGAGAGCCTCCGTTTAAAGTTTATTTTGCTGTCTCCATTATACATTGCTGCAAAAGGTTTATTTCTGTCGTGTTATCCAACGATGAAACAGAAACAAAACTTTCTAAAGTTGTCATGGAAAGAAAAAGCATTATAGTGCTTTGGTTGGCCTATTTTTAAAACAACGTTATCGATCGCTTTTCGGTTTCTAATAAGACAATTTGAGAAATTGCATAGTAAATAAATAGAGCATGAGGTAAAATATATTTTAAAATTCTTTTTTTTAATGAATCAACAAGAAAATTATTTAATATTTATGAAATTCGCTTTGAGAGCGCTTGTTTTAATTTGTTTTGAAATGCATTGTTGCTTTATAAGTCACCGAGTTTTATAAATTACGATTTATAATTGCAGCAAGAAATAATCGAGGAAATAAGTAGAAGTGTGATGGAAAAACGTTCACTTGCGTAACGAGAAACGACCATTCACTGTACGATCTTTGTCGCTAAAATATTTTGTAAAGAAATTTCACTTGAATATGCGTAGGTATATTAGTTGTCATGAAACTCTCAGGTTAAAGGAAAATTTCTAATTCTAAAAATAAATTTACAACCATTAAAAGTAAGCGAAAAGTTTTATTTGCAATTACTTCCTTGGATCATATGTAAGTTGTTAAATAACTTTTACAACTTAATATGGTTCCTTTGAAAAAGTTTTAATATTCCGATAACTTTTAAAAATCGTTTAGACTTTATATGGAGAAATAATTTATGGGTAAATAATTTATGTTACAAATTATAGGTAAAAGCATCTATTTTTAGATAATCGTTAATTATACGGGTAATTAATTCTCCCTAATTTATTTCTAATTTAATTTGTTTACTTATATTTTTATGTTGCTTTTTAAAAAATACTTTTATTTTTCTTTGACGCTGGCCTTGAACTCTCTTCTTATTGTTATTTTACATTCTTAAAACAATTTCCGCTGAGGAATGTTATCCGAGCAATGACATATTGACAATAATTGTTCGCGATACATTGTTTTAAAACAAGTTTATTTTTAAAGTACAAGTTAGCAGTTAAAGTTAAATTGTTTACAAATTAATGCGGTTTATAAAACGAACAAACAATGTGAATCACTACAAGGTCGATTAATAACTTTTAGACTTACTTTTCATATGTTTCATCTTGTCTGATAATACCACCTACCTTAATTGAAAGATCGCAGCCAATGCGAGATCGATTCTTCCTTTTGGAAGGTACTTGCGGTTACACAGTTTCCTTTGTTTCTCTTATTCACTAACTCTCACCTTACTAATAATGGAAGTATACTAACAAGGAATGTGCCAGAAGTGTCTCTTAATCCTGCAGTAGTGGCGTTCTTTCGCATAACATGGATGGTCTCATAGATCTAATTCTCAACACTTGTCTTGTTAAAGTGTTTATCATTGTAGTTTGGGACTGATTCTGTTACTTTCCTGTCACTTCTACGCTACATTTGATTTGCAATAACATCTTTACTTTAAAATACCAAGATATACTACTGAAGTTCAAATCGAAATTATTATGTACTTATTGCTTCAAACTTGAAAATTATATTACTTCTGGTAAATATAAAAATAAAACGTTTCTGGCACTACACACATACCATCTATTACAATAAAGACAAATTAAGTAAACAGGGTCAGTCAAAAAGTTATGACAAAACAAGGTTACGTTTTCTTTAATGGAACACCTGTATAATATTCCATATTTCGGTTTATCTCGAAATTCTAAATAAAATTCTTCCAAGTAAGCACGCCGTTCCTGCTTTTCCATATATCTATCTTCCCTCCTTCTTCTTTGCACTTCTTCTGTTAAGTACCCTACTTTAGTATAATACTCCCTTCTTTCTTATGTGTCCAATATATGTCCATACTCCCCCACCCCAGCACTAATCTCCTTCTAAAATTCTCCCAAAATCTTAAAATCGCTCTTCTGCTCCAGCCCATCCTCGTACTTTATTGTCCTTCTGCTTGCTTCCACCCTCATCTTCTCCAGCTTCAACTCTTCTCTCACTATGTATCCCGGACTCTCCCGGCTTAGCCCTAAGAACCACTTCTAATATCTCTCCTGGATCTCCTCAACCATCTTGTATTCCTACTACCCCCATATTTCGACTCCATACATTACCACACTCCTCAGCAATCCATCAAATATTATTTTCCGCCTGCACAAGTCTTTCCCAAATATTCGTTCACCCGTCTCCATATCTGTCCCAATAATTGACTTGCCTATCTAACTTTCTGCCTAATATGATCCCCCACCCCATTATCCGCTCGAAAGGTAAAGTCCAGGTACATAAATTCTCTTACCTCCTCCACTTCTCCCTCCTTCCATTCCCACTTCTCTCTTTTCCGTCTCCCGCTCTTGGAGAATTTTATAACCTTCGTTTTTTTCAATATTCACTTCCAAATCCTTCCCCTCAAAGTATGTCTTCATCCATATCATCATCCCTTTCAACTCTTTAACCTCTGTTGCCACCACCACCAGATCATTTGTATATGCCACAGAATGTATCTTTTCTGCCCCCACCACTACTCCTTCGTTCTGACCCGTCTTTAACCTTTCTTCTAGATCTTCTATATACGTGGCTGCTAGCTGGATCATTATTCACACGATAAGGTCTTTCAGGCTGTAAGTCTACTTGGACTTCTAAATTTAGAGTATATCTTGTTTTGGCATCAATAAGTGCAAATATTTTAAGGGCATGTTTGTTCGGGTTACTCTATATCTTGCTTAAAAGCACACCTTTACCGAAGTCTTTTAAGTTTCTCATCGATAGTTCATTCAACTTTTTCTCATCTCTGCCAAATCATCAAATCGAAGATTTCTATGTAGAAGGAGAAACCTGTGTTGAGTCATTGTCAACCAAAACATCTTAATTTAATTCCCAAGTTATTTTCAAATGAACCAGGAAGGAGTTTGATTCAACATGATATTGCTTTGAAAGAAGTAAGGATTATCGTGTATAGACGAAGCAATAGCCAAAATAATAATAATAATAATAGTACTTTATTGACCGCAAACTTGCTGACAAAATTTCGACGATGTTGTGTTAGGAATACCTTAGGAATCCCTTGCAATCGAGTATAACATTTGTTTATGGGTCTATCGCCCAATTTGATGAAAGTTTTGTTAGAAATTCATTCCTGGAAAGTTTTTCCCATTATTTTTCTTATTGTAACATCTTCAAATTTCCTTGTCATAGACATAGACGGCATCTATTCCTACAGCAGTAAGATGTCATCTAACTCTTCTATCACGTAGTCGTTATCCTAAAGTTTCCTTGTTTCCTGTTCTCCTGCCTGTGTGAGGTAACGTCAAATAACGGCGACTACGGTGTTTAGTCTTAATCTCCATTTCTAAAAAATAAATTTATTTCTCAATTAATTTTTGAGATTTTTTTAAGATTTTATTCTTAAAATCTATCTCATATAAACAGAGTTAAGCTTAAAAAATTATCACAACGATGCTATGTAGGAGTAAAGGAATTATTTTTGTACATTGATTGAAAATGTTGCTCATATCATCATTATATCTCAATTAGTTTTTGAGATACGATAAAGTTTTTATTCTTAAAAGCTGTAACAGTCAAATATACAGTTCATTTTAAAAACTCACCACAACGAAGGTCTATAGGAGTCTGTAGGATAAGTAAGGCCCGGATTTATATGCGACAAAAATAAGCAATATAAGTTTTTTATATGTGTTTAAAATTGGTCAAAATATGCAGTAATATTCCGGAAATATGGACAATATTATGCGGTCAAAACAAAAAAAAATGCATATGTGTTAAAATACTACTTAATGTTGCATTGTAACAAATAGTATATAAATATAATAAAATATAATATATAAACATTACAAAACAGCATAAAAAGATATTATTTACAACAATAGCTATAAATTTGAAACAGTAAAGTTTCTGGATTTTCCAATTTTCTAATTTGTTCCATGGTATATTTGATTGGGCCATGGCGTTGCATAAATCGAAAAAAAAACTCATTTCCAGCTATTTGTTGTGATGACTCAGGCATCAGAAATAAAACGTTGGTTTAATTTGCTACCTGATCTTTTTTCCGATTCTTGGTGGAGAGTTGTTGATAAATGCTGATCAATTTGATATTTTTGATTACACGCCACCTTAAAAATCAACGAGTTCTAGAAAAAAAGCCTTCAAACGTTAATTTATATACTTATTAATATTATCACTTCCCATCCTGTTAGATTATGTAAATAAAAAACTTTGCTTTTCAGAAGGGTATCTTTTATTTTCGGCTCTTTGAGATACCCTTCTGAAAAGCAAAGTTTTTTATTTACATAAGTTAATTTATATGCACTTGTTTGGAACAGGCGTTGCAAAAAACAACTTTCCCGTCAGTCACTAGCTGGTTAGATATTTTTATCCACATTTCAAGCAATTCGGCCTTAGAAGAACCCACTTTCGGCATTAGGATTTATTGTTTCTTTAACACACTAACTGACACTAACTTAACGTATAAAAAACACGTGTGAACACTTGTGTGGTTTGAAATGATTTAGAGGTTATATTACGAAAATCGGATGAGAACCACACAATCAAAGTTATGTTGTAAAGCAGACCACTTTAATGTAATACCGCCAGTATCAAATTAACTACTGTTATATTGAAATATGGACAAAACATGTGCTCATATGAAATTACATGCGATTATATCGAACTATATGGATAACTAAATTTATATGCGATAAAAATGTAAAATATGAAGTTATATGCAAAACATGCAAAAGCATATAAATCCGGTCTCTAGAGATAAGTAATTATTTTGGCACATTATAGCTCTGTTAAATTTACTTTTAAATGTTCCTTATTTCATAATTATATGTTAAGATTAGTGATGGAACGGATAGTGATTTTACGAAAAGGCGGCTCTTCGGCCGAATATCCGGTTATCCGGGATATCTATCCGGCCATTATGGTTATAATTTCTGGTGCATTTCTGAAGTGATACCCTATATTGCTCCATTATTGCGATATTTGAATAAGAGGATATTATTAATTGGTGATATTTCCACAAGGCTCCTTCAAGCAATTAATTTTATAGCTAATTTTGAAAATTGTCGCCGAAAATTGCAACATCGAAAATTTTATCAAAACTTCACATATTGTTTTCTCACAAACTAAAAGTTATTTTTCAAAATAGGTTGGTTCATTGGAAAGAGGGCACTTTTATTAACACTTTGGGAAATTTTCATACTCGTGTTCCAAGAACTGGATTTTAACGAATTTTTAAAACTTAATCGGCGAAAATTTCTAAATTCGAAAAAATTGTCGATCATTTCAAAAATTTATTTCTCAAGAACTGAAAGTGATTTTTCAAAACGGCTTTTTGCATTAAAAATAGGATACTTTAATTAATAATTGGTTATATTTCCACAAGGATTCTTCAAGAAATTAATTTTGTAACGAATTTTGAAAATTATCGATGAAAATTGCAATATCAAAAATTTTCTCAAAACTTAAAATATTGTTTTCTCAAAAACTAAAAGTTATTTTTCAAAACGGGTTTGTTCACTGGAAAGAGAACACTTTTATTAACACTTTGGGAGCTTTTCATACTAATATTCCAAGAACTGGATTTTATACGAATTTTTAAAACTTAATCGACGAAAATTGTAAAATTCGAAAAAATTGTCGATAATTTCAAAAATTTTTTTCTCAAAAACTGAAAGTGATTTTATTAAAACGGCTTTTTGTATTAAAAAGAGGATACTTTAATTAACAATTAAAAGTGATAAAAGCAACAGTTCTGTTAGTAATGAATGTGATGATGAATTACAAGCGAAGAGAAGAAAACTAGACGAAGCTGCAACAAGAGATTTTATATATCGTATTGGGATTGTTACAATGAGGTTGCTAGTGATAAATAAAGTTGTATCCAATGAAAAAAGTCCTATTGGGGTTGAACTTGATTATTATCTGCAGTGTCCAACACCTAAAAGAGATACCAATTCTTGTGAATGGTGGAGTACTAAGTAATAGGTTTTTAATATCCGGTCAAAGCCGGATATTAGGTAACTATCCGGTATCATATTATGGTATATTACGGTATTATATCATTATATGTTGAGATACGATTTTTCTTCTTAAAGATCAAGTTGTTCTTCTTAAAATCTATGACAGTCAAATATACCTTGCATGTTTTCGTTAAATCGGAATATATAAGATGTATAGAGACGTATAAGATGTATAGAGTTTATCTATTTTATCTATTTTATCATGAAGAAATTAGATTCGGAAATGTAAATTTTGAACATAGTTTTACATTTAGAGATTAAGTATTATTAAACAGTTTTGTAAAAATCGTTAAAAATCTAGCTTTCATATAATAGATGTCAATATAGGTCGATTTACGAAGAAAAGAGTAACCTTTTAGCGCAAAGTTATAACTTTTATTTAAACAATATTTTCCGCTTTACCATCATTCAGTGTTAGTAAATATTTTTTTTTGTGTGCGTGTTGTTGCCCACAAAAAGTTAAACATAAAAAAATATTCATACTATTTTTATAGCAATTAATTGTACGTAAATTTTAATTATTATTAAATTTAATTTTGCAGAGAAAAATGAATTCACGCCCCACAGAACTGACGACGCCTTTCTTTTAAGATTTTTAAGAGCGAGATACTTCAATTTAAAATCAGCTTATCGCTTGGTAAATATCTATTAAAACTTTCATTTCCTCAAACTTAATGTCATTTAATTTGCACAATAATTGTTGCAGTTATCAAATTATTACGATTTTAAAAGACGGAACCCAGAAGTTTTTGAAGGTGTTCGACTTCAAGATCTTGAGAAAGCCGATAAAGCTGATATAATAACCGTTCCACCTTACCGAGAACAAACCGGAAGAAGAATTCTTTTATACAGAATGGGAAATTGGGATCCTTCTAAAGTAACCGTAACTGAGTTACTTCAAGCAACAATGGTGGTTTTGGAATTAGCTATATTAGAACAACGAGCTCAAATTCTGGGTGGAATCGCGATGTTTGATTTGGAAGGTTTAACAATTCAACATGTATTACATTTAAGTCCGAGTTTGGCTTCCAAAATCGTTCAAATTATGGTTACTCACTTTCCAATGAAAATCAAAGCGATTCATATTGTAAATCAACCGTGGATTTTCGATGTCGCCTTTAATATAATGAAGCCATTTTTGAATGATCGAATGAAAGAGCGGATTTACGTTCATGGAAATGATATGGAAAGTCTTCATAAACATATTGAACCAAAATTTTTACCACGACGATATGGGGGAGTTCATGATGATCCGTGCGTGAAGGATTGGTTAGAATTTTTCTTTACGAATCCTATAATACTGAGAGAATTAAATTCTTTGGGATACACAGCAGATAAAGAAGTTATTGAACATGTTTTTGATTATTTGAATAGATAAGGATTTGAAAATGTAATGTTTGGTGTATTTCTTATTCTAATTTAGGGGTGCTATCCGCGATCTTTATCCATAATTAATTCATCACCAAAATTTTTTTAAATAAATAAGAATCTAATTTTGTGGTGTTTTTAATGAAAACATTTGGGGTGATATCTGTGATATATATATGTAACTTTTGTGGGGAAATTTCAAAATGTAACAAATAAAAATTCCAAATAAAAAATAAAAACCCAACTTTATTTGTTTATTTTAATTTATCCATTAATTATTTTCGCTAATTAATCAGTATTAACCGTTTTAACAATATCTCTAATATGATCAAATTTTCTATACAAAACTTCTTGTTTAATATTATTCTGTAGAAACTCATTATTTAAAGCTTCATAATTCAAATCTAATTCACCTCCGAATTCTTTTGGTAAACATTCAGGATCGATGTGTTCTTGTAACGAATCAAAATCGTTATAATGAAACTTTAATCTATCTTTAATCACTTGTGGCAACAAAGGCATTACAACACGCATCGCAGCACTTAACAAAAATGATGATCTAACGATATGAAACACACCATCTTTCATGATAATGTTGTCCAATCGACGAATTGATCTTTTAATATTACTCGGCGTCAACCAACTCATCATTCTCATCGAAATTCCTTGGGCGTCGACTATTAGACACAATCCGGTCGATTGAATTTCCGGCTCGTCTAAAATCGATTCGATAAGTAGTGTTTCAAATTTAGCTAATTCTGATAAAGAGATTTTTGATGGGTCTACGGTGTCCGTTTTGAACAAGATTATTCTTTTTCCTTGTTTGTCTTTGTGTGGTAAAATAAAACGCATGTTCATATCCAGGTGTTTTTTGTAATTTTCTATTGGGTCCAATGGTAACCATTCGTACTCTTCAACGACGTAATTGTAATAATATTTAATCTAAAAATATTAATAAAAATTAAAATGTATTAAAAGAAATATTTTTGTTAAGTTATTAAGGAGTAAAAGTATTTTGAAGTTACTACAATTTTCGTATTTGCAATTTTTCTACAAAGTAAGAACATTGTAATAAATTATGTTCTCAACTACATTATTTATTACTATTTTTGTTCTCCTGAAAAAGTTGTATATTGGTAATAAAATGTCTTTTATGCATTTAAAAGTTTTCCAACTATACTTTTACTCGGAGAATAAAACTATAAACAATATCGATGATTGATGACAGAAATAACAACGTTACTCTACGATGAATACGCAGTCAAATATTAGGAAATGTTTATATTGGAATAGAGACATTTTACTCGTCAAATCAATCTTGCTGTTTAAATGGTTTCTCATATGATTACTATTGCCCAAATATTCATAAAACCTACCATTTCAAGGAAAGCAAAATAATGCTTTCATCAGCCGTAGGCATCATTAATACGTACGTAAAAGTAATACGTTTACAAAATCTGTTGGATTACTAAAAAAAATTCTATTAAATGATTCTGCTCGTAAAGCTAGATTAAAAACGGTTTTCTATTAATAGTGCTAAGAAGAAATCTGATATGTTCCTCACAGTAATAAAGCTACAGCCTTATACCAGTTGTTACCTCTGACACAGTCTGCAGATTTGGTGGGTAAAGTTTGTAGCTTGACGAGACTGCTGCCGATTCCAAGCCCAGATAAAGGAGGAGATGAGTTTGACAAGTAAAAACATATTGTTATCCATAGTAATAACCAAATATCCATAATAGGAGTTTATCCATAGTAAAAACTAAACATTCATCACCACGTACAAGGATCGTTTCGGCGATGGTTTTTAAAGAACTGACGCCATCAAGGATTACATTCATGGGAAGATTCAACTTCTTCTAAAAGCTATACCAACGGCCGCAGAGCTTTAGGCGCTCCGAAATGACATGTAGCACAGTAATGTCAAAAAGGAAGATCAAATCCACTGAACTGAGTGGGCATACCAGGCTTTCGACATTTACAAAGCAATTTTAATTCAAGCAAACCTCTTGGCATAACCAGCGTCAACTATTCCAATCTTATGCAACACTTCATCTATGCGCATTGCTAAAACGCTTTTCTGTTGATAGTGATAAGAAGAAAACTGATATGTCCCTCACAGTAGCTACAGAGTAAAAAACTGCTCTTCAATCACGCAACCCTCTTGGCATAACCATAGCGCCAACTATTCCAATTGTATGCAATACAGGGTGTCCCGTTAAGGGTACGGAGCGGCTGTATCTCAACAACGGTAAGGCCTAGAGGTTTGGGAAAAATATCCTTATAGGCAAAGTGGGCAAGAGAAATAGCTGGAAATTATTTTGAAGTTCGTAATTTGACCGCTAGGGGGCGTAACTGCCATAGAGAAACATAAAATTCCCATTATCTCAGAAATTTAGACGATGAGGATGATTACATCATTTAATAGCTTGGATAATACCGCATCGCTTTTGTTTTGCAATATTTCTCATATCTGTCATAATAAGGGAGGGGGAGGCCAACGCGTTTTCAAATGTTTACATTTTAGTATCTCCTGAACCATTCAACCAATTTAAATATTCTTGGTCTCGTTTGAAAGAGCATTTTATGCTCTTTTAAAGGATATTTTCAGTAAGACCGTTTGGTTTAACACAAATAAGCTAGAGGGCGTTATCTGCAGCGATGACCTATATCTGTGATTTTTGAAAAAAAGTTAAATGGAACGGTACTATTTACTTCACAGATCCTTAGTCACCATAAAATTTGCTAAATATTAGTGAAAACCGCATCTCGATATCGCCATCCGTTCTCGAATTATAGAAGAAAATGTTAAAAATTCGTATACCTCAATCTGATCACATTATCTTAACAAAGAAATCACAGAGCATAAAAATTTATTACGTAGAGCCTTCCTTCACACTTTATCCAGGCTTAGGACTGGTTCAAGACCATTTTTGAAGCGTGTTTAAAGGTCAACGGACCAACGAAACATCAACTATAACAATAAAACAAAATAAACCAAAACACTTTGAATTCTGCTCATAAATGTTCAAAATGTTTTCCATCATTCTCGATGCATTTATTTGCTTTAGTTTNGTTTGCAGCAGTTAGCGCCAACCTCTCAATTAAAAGAATGTTGTAGCATACTGTAACACTATCCGCGTTCCCTCAACACATTCACCCATGATCAGTCTGCGTGATGTTACCAACGTAATCGATACCACTGTGGGAATTATTCAGCCAATGAACATAAAATTTGCTTCAAAACTAAGTTGAATAATAAAAGGTTGTAGATGTCATCCTCCTTAACTTCTCTAGAAATGAGTATGGACACTCGATCACACTCACCCCCTGCTCTTTACACTCTCTCAACAGTTGTTCCTCCTTTTTGCAATCCTTGTCATACATCCTATACATCTTTTTGTTATCTCCCATCCAGTATCAATTAGTGCTCTCATTCTCTTTCTAAACTTCACAAATATTTTCTGTTCTGCTATTCTTGGCGATTTATTTGGTCCAGATTTAAACACTTGGCTTATAATGTTTTTTTATCCCTCATCCTTTGACTGGCTCACTAGAACACACAAGTTCTACATTTATGCGTTTCCGATTTACTTACTAATATCGTTTTTAATGGGTTAAAGAATTATTTCCTGTAGAGAGCATAATAATACGGACCTGACAATACCGCCACTATTTTACATACAGCAGATAAGGAACTAGTCTGGGATAAGATTCCTGCTCAGTAAGATGACTGTAATATTCGAACTGCTTCATTAAACGTTAGTTAACACGCATATCACTTCTTGTATAAAAAATTTTCCTATTCGTAGTATCCGAATTACTTTTGTTCCTCTTGACTGCTCTTTTGCTCAGATTTGCTTAGCCCAAAACTTACACAACGATCACTAACTCTAGGAATAAACGGTTAAATGAATTGAATACGGAATTTGTAGTCTGGATAAAGTAGCATTAGTGTTACAACAAAAGACGGCTCTAATCATATTGCATTACCACATTTCTGAGTTGGGAATTTTATGAGTTAATTAATTAATTTTTATATTTCACACAACAGCATATTTATTTCCTTTATGACCTGCGGTGAAGAACTGAAGACCTTTGTTTCAATGGTCCTCTTCTTTTTCTTCTTTTAGCCTATTTTTCTTTAATGCAATTTCTCTAGAAGTCGTCACTTAGGTGTCCAATTCTCCTTCTTCCAACCGGTGATTTATGTCGAGAAATCATTAGTATTTGTTATCGAGGCATTCTATTTATATGTTCTTTCCACTCCCGTTCTCTATTTTTATCCCTACAATAATATCGACTTCACATACGCGTCTTATGTTTTCACTTATTTCATTTTTCTTTTAAATGTTTACATTTCACTCGCTTCCAAATTTCTCTGTGTTTTGCGTATTCGTCTGGTCTCGGCGGTGTAAGTAATCATGACTGGTCATAACTGATTATAACTGATCGGATTACACATTTGTATATCCGAGATTTGGTCTCTGTTCTTGTGTACTTATTCTTTTAAATACGACCAACTGGTCCTGGTAGTTTTACCAACGTCGTTAGCTATCGTTAATACAACCAAACTTCTCCTTACAAGTAAGGTTATCCACCTACTTGACATCCTGGTAAAAACGGCTTAAAGAACCACCATAATATATGTGTATAGAACAGGCTTATAAAGCCTAGCTGATTCGTTAACCCTAATCGTGCAAAAAGAGGAAGAGTATCATTTAAACACCCTGCTATTTTGTTGGTCTTTATTATTTGTTCTTTTATTTCACCTTCAATTTGCACCTAAGTGGTTCGTTAACAACTACTACTGACTTTGTTTTATTTTCAGCTAATATCTTCATTATAAATCTCTCCACGGTTGTTATAAACGGATGCAATAATCTCTGCAAGTCTTCCTCATTCGCTGTTAATAGCACAGAATCTTTGGCGTAACATAGTAGTTTGGTTTTTTCTTGTGTAATTATTTCGTCCATTATGACATTGAACAATAAGGGACTTAACCAGTCTCGCAAATAAGCACATAATAAATACACACAAATAAGCATAGTAATGTAAAGTGCATAGCTTGATGAGATTGCTGTCAGTTCTAAGATCAGATAAAAGGCGAGTTTAACAACTTAACATTGTTTAAAGAGAACAGAAGAAAAACCAAACATTGCTTACAGAACTAAGTTAATGCCTCTAGGTGATCTAATAGTGAATATTCCTTGGATGCAAGTACAGATTTGTGGAGGATCTTTTCGGCGATGGTTTTTAAAGAACTCACACTATCAAAGATTACATTCATGGGAATATTCAACTTCTTCCAATAGCTATACCAAGAGCCGCAGAACTTCAGCCGCCCCGAAATGACATTTAACACAGTAACGTCAAAAAGGAAGGTCAAATCCACTGAACTGAGTGGGCATACAAGGCTTTCGACATTTACAAAGCAGCTTCTTATGCAATACTGCTTCTATGACCATCGCAATTAATATTATCTTGGAATTACGAAGAATTTGTCAACCCAACTTGGTACTGCTTTAAAAAGTTGAGCACCATAGAAAAGAAGCATAGACTAAACGATAGAGAATTGTTTGTCATATACAAATGAATGGTTACTTTCGACGTTTGGTGGAATATCCAGTACAAATATGATTTTGAAGAACGTAGTTCCAGCGATTAGGTTCTAGTTCTAAAATTATAATGGAAAACTCCATTATTATGATAATGAACTTCTTGCGTTTACGGTGACTTTACATCACTATACCTGTTAAGAGAATGCTAAATGAATGACCTGAATTAGTCAAAATCCTTCGATAGTATTTAAAATATAATATGATTTTAAAAAATCAATCCAAATCAATGGTAAATGGAGTGGGCAAAGAAGATATTGTTAATAACATATCAGATAATAAAGAAACCAACGAATAGCACTCCTGGTTTGAAAACTAAGATAA